CCCCAAAACCCCAAAACCCCAAAACCCCTATCAAGTATCATAAGATTGAACACCACTAATTATGGATGAAATTGATTTAAGAAATCAGACTCTAGTGACAACTTAGGTCTACTCCTCTCAACACTTATATTCGGAGTTGCATGCTGCTTCTTGATGCCATTCCTAAAGATTATGTCTGAGGCTACTACCTCTTGAGAGACTCCTTGCGCTGTCTTATACATGATCTCAGCTTTTGTTCCTGTGAAATATTTGCTTTGCGAGTTAAAGGCCTATATTTTCCTAAGAAATGTTACGTATTTCAGTATTCGCTATATCCTAATTCGCTCTTCAGTGCTGTCTGGGCTCTAGTTTTGATATCCTTTTCTGTATTTTTATTATTTTCCTCAAATTGGTAGTCTGAACTTCCGAATGGAATGAGCTGTCTCATTTCTTGCCAAAAATCTTTGATTTTATTGGCTTTAAACTGGATCAGCATGTCTCTGGTGTAGCTCTGGCCTTGGTAGTGTACTTTACTTGGAGAATAGCCTAAGCAAGCGATTTTGAACGCAGTGAGGATTATAGAGTTCTGGTTGGTACAAGAGTATCAGCTCTTGTCAAGAGTAATAACACCTGTGTTGTTCAAAGCATTCTTCCTTTGCTTTATAGCCCCAATAGGATCTTGCTCAATCTCTTTAATACTTAGAAAGCTTTGATGGTCTAAGCTAAATGCTGAATCTTTAGCTTTATGCCTTTGAGTCTGATTATTCTTAGTCTCGATAACCTTCTTAATATTTTGAATAGAAGATTTGTTCAAGTTCTCTCTCACAGTGCTAGTAAATAAATCATCTGATTTTCTTTTGTTAAACAGACTTGAAGTTTTGTCTCTTTTCAGAAGCTTGCTCTCTCCACTGATCAGATGAGGGTCTATGTGAGAGTTGTACTTCTCTTTCTCCATTTTGGTAGTATTCTTAGCTCCCCAGAGAGCTATAGAATGTCTATCCTTCTCATCTTGGAGTTGTAAGGCATTTCAAAGGTATTCGTTTTGGAATAAGTGGGTTATACTGTGAGTAATGTTACGAATACTCATGTGAATTGTATCAATCTGAGAATTATGAGTGCTACAGTTAAACATCAAGATTACTCAGTGGTTTCTTTCATAATTTCAATATCTCTCCTTGCTCTGTCTTTGAACTTCATTCGGTCAACCTTTGACTCTCTGATGAAGCCTTGCATCGTTTGGACGCCCTCTTCCATTCGGTTCTGGGTGATTTTGATTAAGCCTTTTGTTCGTTCGAAGTTATCATCAGTTCTATGGTTAGTGCTGAGAACTATACTTTTTATCTAGGATGTTGAATCTATCACTCATTTCACTTCTGAATATCTTGTGTAGATACTCTGTATTACTGGCACAGTCCTTAGTAGATTGTTCAAGATTTTGTTTCAAGAGGTACTTGAATTCTTTCTGTAGCTCATCAACTGCTTCTTGGATTTTGGACTCTACTCTATCTATTGAGACTCCGAAATGATGAGCTTCCTCTTCAGATTCGCCACTTTCTAATTCTTCCTCCTCAAGGTCAGAGTATGCTCTATTGATAACATTATGAAGCTTACTCAGTGATGGTATTATGTTTTTCAGGGTAATCTTTGAATGAACTTGAGAGATGTTTTGTTAAGCTCTGGTCACCTCTTGCGATTCTTTTTCTTTGAGTAGCTCTAAATTCAAACTTCCCATTGTCATCAAATTCATAAATATCTTCTGTTTTGTGCCCAACAGTTTTATCTTCAGATGGCGACTGCTCAGAAATATAATCTTCAGTCAGACTGTCATTGTTCTGGATAGCTTGGACCTTCTTTGGAGATGTTAAGTTAAGGGTAGGAGGTTTTATCCTTATTTCAGGTTTAGATAACCTGACGTCATTTATCTTGAAATGAGGACTTTCTTCAATATGTTTATCGGTCTCGCTAGCCTGATCTTTGTCTGGTGGTAGTTTAGTGTCTTTGTTCGGAGAACCGTCTTGCTGATATTGGGCATTTGCCTTCTCTTTGAAATCTTGAGCTCCAATTGCTTGCATTATTTCCATTGAAGAAGGATCTCCAGTACTCTTATTAAGAGCAATATGAGTGTCATACATTTTTCTATTTGAAGGAGTAGTTGTAACTATTTTTAACTCCTTAACATGAGAGACATCTCTCTTCTTCTCCTCAACTGGGCTGGAAGGATGGGCTTCCTCCTCATCCTTGATCAACTTGATACTTTTAGACCTTGAAGTCGAATCACCCTTTCCTTCAGAACTTTCAGGAAGCATTGCTGATGCTGCTCTCTGACTAGAAGTCAAGTGTTCAGGCTTCTGGAATGAGAAGTTCGCCTTATCATTTTCAAACTGAAATGGGTTCTAAAATGTCAGGTATTCATACCTTTAGCTTAGTGTCTTCAGGGGAATTAAACTGTTTGCCCTTATTATCGTTAATAATGTCCTTGACTTTAGGATGATTCGAGATTTTTAGAGGTTTATCATCAGACTTTAGCTTGATATTCATTTTATCCTGCTTTGCAGTTCTTCTTCGTAAAATCTGGGTCTGCTTCTGATTGCTCTGAAGATCTGTTTGATCTATTTTGCTCGGGGAGAGATTTGCGCTTTCTCTATGTTCTGGAGCCTTATTTTCTCTGTTTTTCTACAGATTATACCATCTTCCTACCTTAGGCTGAGTGGGGCTCCTCTCAAGGATATCATCTTTCTGGACTTGGCTTTCTGGTCTGGAGTTGAAGTATTGATTTTGACTGGACTTATCCCTCTTAGGCTTCCCTTTTTTCTTTGTACTACTAATGATTGACATTGTGATTTCTCTAACTTTTTGGCCTTTATTATTTATATAACTCTCTTCTCGTGATAAATGAGAGAATTTGTCTGAAGAAAAGCTTGCCTGGCTAGGTGTTGGCTTGAGCCGAGACATTATGTCACTAAATTTCTTTGATCCTTTATTAGTAGTCCATTCTATAAGATAAGATCTATCGGACAAACCAGTGACTAATTTAGGGATCTCAAGATCGACTACTTCCTTTCTATCATATTCTGGCCACTGGTTTCCTTTTTTTGCTATAGCTTCATTGAAGAAATTTTTCATATTTCTATAGGATTAACAAAAATCTACGCAACATATGAATTGAGACGTTTTCTCTCTTTCTTATCAGTGAAGATATGGTCTAGGATTCTCACAACTGCAGAGAACTCCTTCACTGGTCTGTACACAATGAGGTAACTCTCCACCTCTCTTAGATCTCTCTTGGTATTCTCCAGTGAGATAGTGAGGTTGTGTATATCTGTAGTAAGATTACTTTTACTCTTAAGGAAATCAGATCTGTCTCATTTCTTTTCACCCAGCAACCTGAGTTCATCCCTGATAGATTTATGTGAATGCGTAATCTTCTTATAATACGCTTGTACTTTAGTTAACAAAGCTTTATTGTTGTCCAGCCTTGTGCTGTGAATCGAGTCAAGAGATTCAAGCTTATTCAGGCTATTTTGAATCTCTTCATACCTCTTCAAGTTCTCTTCCTGACTAGCAGAGATGCTGTCGTGGATTTCACCCTTGAGGAGGATCAGCTTATCGTCAATATTTGGAGTATCTTTATCTTCTCCGTATAAGTGGTCATTAATTTTTGAAATATTATCAGCATTAGAGTTGATATCTTCAAATTGTTTCTCAATTTTAGTGAGGAAGTTATCCAACGTAGCCTTTGTCTTGCTCTCTGAGACCCTTTGTTTTCCTTCTATGTCCTTGACCTTTTTGATATATTTATGACAGACTTCTATCTTGTGGGTGTTTTGGATATTGGAGTGATCTATTTTATCCATTTTATTTCTTATATATAACTTGGGCTTTCTTCAGCTGATTTATCTCATCAGTTTTATTTATCAAATGTCCTATTTGGTAATAAGTAAGTTTTCCTACTTGAAGACTATTTGAAGCTGTTCTGAAAGCATTTCTCTCATTTTCGTTTCGAGTTCAAGCCAGTCAAGTTCGCTGTTCTTGTATCCTTTCTCATGAAGGTCTTTGCCAACTCGAGCTGCGATTTCAGTAAAAGTACTAATCTTATCGCTAGCAGAGCCCTGCTTCGAACCATCAGTGAGATCGAGCTCGTCTTCTGAGTGAGGCATTAGTTGCACTGAATTTTTGGTCAGGTTAGAAGCATCACTTCCGTTGTCGTTATCCTTCTATATATTGCTTAAGGTTAGATCTTTGGGACCCAAATTTTAGGCCAAAACCACGAAGAATTTCATTAATATTTTCTTCACATCTTTCCAATAATCCATTCCACATAAATCTTTGGGTTAGGCTAATTTATTTTAGGCAAGCAAGAGAGCATGGTATCAATCTAATAGCTCTTTGACCTATAACATTGAATATGGGATATACTAGCCTATTTATTCACATTAAATATTTGCTTGAAAGAAGTAACCTCATGGTCTGTAAGACACTCAAAGATTTTTACTAAAGTCATTGATAAGGGCGCTTAGTCATTTGGACTCTTAAAATTCCAGCCAAGCTGTGCCCTCTGATTGTTAGTAGCCTACTCGAACATATGGGGATGGATTGTCATTCAAATTCATTTTTAATTATATTTTTCAATACAGATTATCTTCACTGGGGTTTTGGGGTTTTGGGGTTTTGGGGGTTTTGGGGTTTTGGGGTTTTGGGG